GGAAAAAAGAAATAGAGAGAAATAGTCTAACAATAAATTATTACTAAATACGCATCTATTAATAATCAACTTAAATGTAAATGGCTTCAATGCTCCAATCAACACTTCTGACCAAGATGGAGGCATAGGTAGATACACATTGCCTCCTCGCACAACTAAAAGTAGGACTAGAACAACTTTAAAAACAAAAGCAACCAGAACTTCCAGGAAATCGAACTGTATGGTAGTCCGACAACCAAGGAGTTTAAAGAAGAAACGTTCACCCTGACTGGTAGGAGGAGCAGAGACAGGCAGCTGGGGCAGGCAAGGCAGTGGCTGGTGGACCCAGTGAGGCAGTGGCTGACAGACTGGGTGGCCCCACATTTGCATGCAGATAAACCAGGAGGAGCAACTGGGGAGCCAGACACACCGTGCAATGCAGGGGTCCAGTGCAGGGGAAAAGACTAAAAAATTCTGACTGAAAAAACATGTGGGGCTTTCAACAGTGTGAGAAACTCCCAGCCTCACGTGAGAGTTTGTTGGAAATACCCACAGGGTCATAGAATGTACACAAACCCTCCCACCCAGGTACCAGCACCAGAAGAGCCCAATTTGCTTGTGGCTAGTGGAGGAAGTGACTGTAAGCTGGCTGTGAGCCCAGCAAGTGCCATTGTTCCCTTCTGGATCTGTTCCCCCACTTACAGTGCCACAACGCAGTGACATGACTTGCCCCACTCTGGCAAATAACTAGGCTATGCCTCTTACTATATAACAGACACACCAAGACAAAAAAAAAAGGCCAAAATGAACAAATAGATCAAAGCCCCAGAAAAAATACAACTAAGCAATGAAGAAATAGCCAACCTATTAGATGCACGGTTCAAAATATTGGTAATAGCATGCTCACAGAAATGGTTGAGTATGGTTGCTAAATAAAGGAAAGAGTGAAGGCTATGAAAAGTGAATTAAAGGAAAATGAACAGGAAACCAACAGTGACAGGAAAGATACTGGGACTTAAATCAATGGTTTGCATGAGAAGAAAGAAATAAACATTCAACTAGAACAGAATGAAGAAACAAGAATTCAAAAACATGAGGAGAGGCTTGGGAAACTCAGGGACAACTTTAAACATTCCAACATCTGAAATGGGGGTGTCAGAAGGAAAAGAGGAAGAGCAAGAAATTGAAAACTTATTTGAAAAAATAATGAAGCAAAACTTCTCTGATCTGGCAAAGGAAATAGACTTACAGGAAGTCCAGGAAGCTCAGAGAGTTCCAAAAATGTTGGATCCAAGGAAGCCCACACCCAGGCACATCATAATTTCATTACCCAAGATTAAAGAGAAGGGGAAAATCTTAAAAGCAGCAAGAGAAAAGGAGACAGTTACCTGCAAAGGAGTTCCCATAAGACTATCAGCTAATTTTTCCAAAGAAACTTGAAGTTAAGAAGGGCCTGGAAAGAATTATTTGAAGTCACGAAAGGCAAGGACTTACATCCAAGATTACTCTATCCAGCAAAGCTATAATTTAGAATGGAAGGGCAGATAAAGTGCTTCCCAGGTAAGGTCAAATTACAGGACTTCATCATTACTACGCCCTTATTACATGAAATGTTAAAAGGACTTATCTAAGGAAAAGAAGAAAATAAAAAACCATGATCTTATGCTCAGTAAAATGACAACAAGCTCACAACTATCAACAACCAAACCTAAAAAAAACAAAAATAAACTAAGCGAACAACTGGAACAGGAACACAATCACAGAATGGAGATCAAATGAAGGGTTATCAGCAGGGAGGAGGGGGGATAATGGGAAAAAGGTACAGGGAATAAGAAGCATAAATGGTAGGTACAAAATAGACAGGGGGAGGTTAAGAATAGTATGGGAAGAGGAGAAGCCAAAGAACTTATATATATGACCCATGGACATGAACTAAGCAGGGAGGAATGTGAGTTGGTGGGTGATGCAAGGTGGAGAGGAATAAAGGGAAGAAAAAAAAATGAGACAACTGTAATTGCATAATCAACAAAATATATTTGAAAAAAATGCTCCAATCAAAAGACATAAGGTAGCTGACTAGATAAGAAAACAAGACCTATGTATATGCTGCTTCCAAGAGACCCACTGCAGATTGAAAGACACAAACAGACTTAAAGTAAAAGGATGGAGAAAGATATTTTATGCAAATGGAAAGGAAAAAAAGCTGAGGTTGCAATACTTTTATCCAACAAAATAGACTTTAAAATCAAGGCTATATTAAAATACAAAGAGAAACACTATATAATGACAAAGGGAACAATCCAACAAGAGGATATAACCCCAGTACAATTTTATGCACCCAAAATAAGAACACCTAAATATGTAAAGCAAATATTGATAGACATAAAGGGACACATTAACAGAAATACAGCCATAGTTGAGGATTTTAACACACCACTGACTGCAATGGATAGATCTTCCAGACAGAAGATCAATAAGGAGACAGTGGCCTTAAACAGCACACTAGATCAAATGGATTTAATTGATGTCTTCAGAGCATTTCATCCCAAAGCAGCAGAATACACATTCTTTTCAAGTGCATATGGAACATTTTCTAGGATAGACCACATATTAGGTCAAAGCAAGTGTCAGTAAATTTAAGAAGATTGTAATCATACCCAGCTTCTTCTCTGACCACACGCTGAAGACATGGAAGCTAAATAACATGCTATTAAATAATGAATGGGTCCAAAATGAGGTTCAGAAAGAAATCATCTGATACTTTGAAACAAATGAAAATGAGAACAAAACAGTCCAAAATCTGTGGGGCAAAATGAAAACAATAATAAGGAAATTCATAGCATTATACACCTATCTCAAAAGAACAAGAAAAAATTCCTATAAACAATATAACTTAACACTTAAAGGAATTTGATAAAGAATAACAAAAAACCCCAAAGTGAGTAGAAGGAAGGCAATAGTAGAGATAAGAGTAGAAACAAATGAAATAGATATAAAAAAGTGATACAATAAATCAATGACCCCAAGAGCTGGTCCTCAAAAAAGATAAACAGGATTGATAAACCTTTAAGCAGACTCATCATGAAAAAAGGAAGGGACCAAATGAATAAAATCAGAAACCATAGAGGAGAAATAACAACTGACTCCAAAAAAGTACAAAGGATTCTAAGAAAATATTGTGAGCAACTATATGCCAACAAACTGGACAACCTGGACAAAATGGATACATTCCTGAAAACATACCATGTTCCAAAACCAAGTCAAGAAGAATCAGATAATCTGAATAGATGGATTACAACTAGTAAAACTGAAGCAATAATGAAACACTCCCTACAATTAAAAGCCCTGAATTCAATGGCTTTGCAGGTGAATTTTACCAAACATTCTGGGAAGAAATAACACCTCTCTTTCTCAAACTGCTTCAAAAAATTCAAGAGGAGGGAAAGCTCACAAACTCATTTTATGAGGCCACTACCATTCTAATTCCTATATAGATAAAAACACTACCAAAAAAAGAGAAGAAAATGACAGGGCAATATCCCTTATACACATAGATGCTAAAATTCTTAACAAAATATTAGCAAACCAAATACAGCAATACATTAAAAAGATCATACACCATAATCAAATGGAATTTATACTGGGATACAAGGTAGGTACATTATTTGTAAATCAATAAATATGATTCACCACACCAACTAAATGAAGGATAAAATCCACATGATCAGCCCTGGCTGGTGTAGCTCCGTGGACTGAGTGTGGGCCTGTGAACCAAACAATCACGGTTCGATTCCTAGTCAGGACACATGCCTGGGTTGCAGGCCAGTTCCCAACAGGGGACACACAAGAGGCAACCATACATTGATATTTCTCTCCCTCTCTCCTTCCCTTCCCCTCTAAGGATAAATAGATTAAATCTTTTTAAAAATAAATAAAACAATAAAATCCACATGATCATATCAATAGATGCAGAAAAACCATTTGAAAAAATTCAGCACCCATTATAACAAAACTCTCAGCTCAGTGGGAATAGAGGGAACATACCTAAACATAATGAAGGCCATCAATCACAAACCACTACTAGTGTCATACTCAACGGGCAAAACCCACAAGCATCTCCCTCAAGATTGAGAACAAGACAGGGATGTCTGTTCTCACCTCTCTTATTCAACATAGTACAGAAGGTCCTAGACACAGCAATCAGGCGAGAAGAAGAAATAAAAGACATTCAAATCGGAAAGGAAGAAGTAAAACTGTCTTTATTTGTAGATTATTTGTACATGGTACTGTTCATAAAGAACCCAAAAGATTCCATCAAGAAGCTTCTAAAACTGATAGATTAATTCAGCAAAGTAGCAGGATACAAAATTAATATCCAGAAATCAGTTGCACTTTTATATGCCAAGAGTAAACTAACAGAAAAGAAAATTAAGTAAACAAAGCCTTTCTCAATTGTTTCAAAAGGATAAAATACCTAGGAATAAACCGAACCAAGGGTGTAAAAGACCTGTACTCAGAAAATTATAAGACCCGGAAGAAAGAAACTGAAGGAGGCAAGCACTTCTACCACTTTCCCAGAATCCCATCTGCGTCCACAGGCCATGCAGCTGTCACCCAGTAAAGAACTGTACACTGTGTGCACCTTGCAGTCAATTGTCCCAGGTCTTTTGTATTTGCAGCCAAGCCATGAGCATAACAACTTGGCAGGAGGAGCGATGATTAACTGCACCCCAGGGAATTGATCAACTGTTCACTTCCTTCAGCTTTGCCCTGTGTTCACAGCACTCTGATTCTATCCAAAGACCAAAGTAAGCTTTTGATCAATAGAATGAGGCTTAGGATATTTAGAAGTGTGATATATGTGAGGGGAAAGCAATTCTACTCTGAACAGAACCATTCTGATTTCTCCACATTATACACTTTCAAGTGTCTCTTGATTCAATATGGCTTCAAATACAGGATTCAGTTAAGAATCATACTTATCATTATTACTATAATTAAGCATGAATTGAATCACTCTGTAAAGAAAACATTGCCTTTGCACTTTATTTCGTCTTTGCAAACTTTATGGCAATAACACTGCAAAACATCATGATTTTCATTTTAATTTAGGGGCAATTGTTTGACATTCTGAAGTTGCTCATTCAAGTTTTCCTAGTGGATGGGAGGGGAGCTGGTGAGGAAATGATGCTCGTTGAATTTTTAGAGTATGATACATCCTGGGGCTTCTTGTTTGCGTCTCCTCTCCATTTCCTGTATCTCTTTTTGAATTTTCCTGCTCTGTTCTTGTAATCCCTCCTTGAGAAGCCGTTCATTTTCCTGAAAGGGAAAACGTAGACTGAACTCACACAATCTAAAACATTTCCCACATTTGCCAAATTATTTCCCCTGTCAATACCTACAGTAATCCTTCATGAGTTTTTTTTTTTCTTCATGAGTTTTTGAAACTTATTTTTTAAATTTGGGCCTTTCTCAACTTCTATTAAATCAACCTCTTTGAAATTTACCATAGCCGCCAGTGATTCTTCTGGGCTTTATTTACCTACATGAAACTTCTCTTATGGTTTCTAAAACATTAGTGAAACAGAATCATATTCTTGTCCCTCTTCATCCACATGCAACACAGTGTTTCTGGAAAATCTATCATGTTTTCCCTTCACCTATGATGTAGTTAGTACGGGCTCACAAATATATGTCTAAGAAGGTAAGAGAGATGAATTGCAATGGGAAGGTTACTACATGATTCAGAATCATGGCAGGTGTTTGATGAGGGAACTTAGTACAACTTTCCAAAACTTGGTGACAAGATGACAGACATAAGCTGAAGAGATCAGGGTCTGCACTGGTCCATACTTTATTTCTGGGTGAACATCTGGACTCAACAATGACTCAGAATAGAGCCTGGAAAAGAGGAAGATACAGGCAGCCTGGGTATCTAATGAATGATTAATTATTTAGATGGTCAGGGAGTCTTCCCATTCACAGGGTGCCTGTAGGTGTAAAGTTGTACCAGGTGTGGCAGAAACAAAATCTCTGTGAACTCCACTCAGTAGGGTAGACAGGCCAGGTAGTCTTCTACACGATAAAACTCAGAAATATCACTTAACTCTCATGAAGTTACAACTTTCTTATTTGAAAATTAGAATATAATAGCACCTACAACATAACATGAGGATTTAGTTACAGAATGACTATAAAACCACATGCAGAGCCAGTTGGTAGATAGCTATTATTTGTTAGTGGTTTAATAATAAAAGATTCCATGAGATTTTATCCTGCAAGGAAATACCATTAATTAACCAGAGATGGTTATAGACAGTAAGAAAATGAAATGTCTACTAGTGTTTGGGCTAGGAAAGCCCTTAATCTGACATAAAGCTCCACCTTCTAAGCCATGTTTTTGGCTCAGTGCTGTGGCAGATAAAATGGTGATGACAGAATAGAATACCTGAAGTTTAAGATTTAGAACTCTCTCATGCTCTGCCTTTAACTGGGCCCTCTCCTCCTCTATCTTGTCAGTCAATTGTTTCAAATGTTCTTGATAACTCTTTTCTTTCTCTTCCATCATCTGCTGAGTCTTGATTTGCATTTCCTTCAACAAATTTTGTGCTGCTTCTGCAGATTCAGCCTTTATACGTTCCACTAAGGAAGAAAAATGAGCAGAGAAATGTGAAGATTACATTGTTAGAGCCTTATTTTGCTTTTAACCCCCACCTTTTTTATTCATATGCCATAGAGAAAGCTTTTGTGATTATTTTTGCAATGGGTAACAAAAAGTTAGACAAAACTAACAGTTAAAAAAATCTGGTGGACCTATGAACTATACTTATTATTCTTTGCTCTACAATAATGTTTCAGGTGGACTAATGTGGCTAATATGAACATTTCTAGGGCTTTCCACCTATCCAGAGTGTTTGCACCTGTTCTCACCTTCAATCTCCTTTTCCTTTTCTGTGAGTGACTGATCAGTCCTTAGAATGGCATCAGCCACAGCCTCCTTGGACTCCAAGTATTTCCTTAGTGTCTCTTCTGCCTGGTGATACAGAGGAAGTTAGAATTAAGAAATAGAGACTATGAGTTAAGGCAAAATCCAGCAACACATGTGTTAATTTAATTTTATCATGCATATAACAATCCTTATAGAATTTAAGTAGCATTTCAAACTTAACTACACTAAAAGCCAACTTTGGGTTATCTCTCAAACCTATTTCATTCCCTATCACCCCAATTTTAGTAATTTAATTAGTAACTCTGGTTTTCTAACTGTTATGGGCTAACAGCCTTAACAGTTACAGTCGATATCTCTTTTTTTCACACATCCCACGTGCAATCATCAGCTCATGGTGTTTGCTCTGTCTTCACATAAAACCAACCAGAACCCATCACTTGTCACCAGCTCCTCCCATATGCTTTGGTCCAATGCATCATTACTTCTTGCGTGGACGATTGCATTAGCTTCAGAATTGGTCTTTCTACTTTCATTCTTTCTCTCCTACAGGCCATTCTTCTCAGGGTACCTTATGTTATGCTATATTATTTTAAGAAATATCAGCTCACTATCATGCACAAAATCTTCTGCTGATTTTTCTACTCTTTCCAAATACAATTCAAAGTTTCTTAGTAGCCTCCAAGGTACTACCTTGTCTGGCTTGTGGCCTTTGAACGACCCTTAGACATCATCTCCTGCTATGTCCTCCTTTGCCCACTGCCCTCCTGCCACATTTCTTGCTATTCCTAGGATATAAACCAATTTATACTTTGGAGTTTTCTGCTTTGAAATTTTGTTCCCCTGGATGCCCATTTGGTTCACTCCCTCACCTCTTTGAAGACTGTGCTAAAACATTACTTCTTGACAAAAGCCTTCTCTAAGAACATGTGAAATAGCATCACATTTCTTTCCTCTTCTATACCTATAACCTACTTTCTTTTTTCTTCAGGGCAGTTTTTGACTGTTAGAATCATCCTAATATTATTCTCCCCTTTGTTCTTAGTAACAGAACTCTAATTTTTTATTCACCCCGACAGGTTGTAGACCAGGATAAAATTTTGTATTTTCTGTTCAATATCCCTGGTAGCTCAGTGCCCATAATGATGAAATTCTCACCAATAGCACTTAAGCAGAGGCCTATGGTACTTCTTGGAAATCACCTTAAAGAGAGTTAACCCATTTACTCTTCTGTTTTCCCTTTTCCCTCCACCTGTAGTGTGGAACTAATGGATGAAACTCTAGGAGCCATCTCAGACCACAAACTGACCACAAAGAGAGAGGCTGTGCTCTGGTGCTACAGCAGAACAAAGGAACAGGCCTGCGAACAATGTTATCACGGAGTTGTCATTACCAACCTTCACTCCCTCTTCATCACTTCTCTTTTTAAAAAACATTTTATTTATTTTTTAGAGAGATAGGAAGGGAGGGGGGAAAACATGGATGTGAGGGAGAAACATCGATCAGTGGAACCTCATGTGTGCCCTGACCAGGAATCTAACTGGCAGACCTCCACTTTGTGGAAGGAAGCCCAGCCAGCTGAGCCACACCAATCAGGGCCTCTTCATCACTTCTGGCACACAAGAGAGAAATGTTTGTCTTTTCTAAGTCACTGTTTTTTAAATAATATTTACCCAAGTCTAATTCTAACTGACACAAACTGAGTACACCAGCATAAAGGAGTAATTAAGAGAACAGTCTGCTATCGGGATTAGCATGCCAGCTGTACCACTCATTACCTATATGTTCTTGGGTGTTCTTTTACTTCTTGTGTCTCAGTTTTCTTATTTAGAAACTGGGGATATGAATAACATGTACTTTTTAGGGTTGTTGTGAGAATTGAATGAGTTGAGCCCATCTATTTCCTGAAGAACAACAAGGTCTGTATGTGTTAACTATTAACTGTTTTTGTCTGTAAGCTATATAATTTGTTTATCTCTGGTTAATGCTTTATGTGAACTTTTTAAAAAAATTGCCTTAGTCGCAGAAACTTGATAAGACCTGACATATAGTTAGGACTGAATAGACCACTCTTGGATCACTGAATGACTAAATAATGAATTAATTCTACACTTTTTGAGGGCTTCTCCTGTGCTTCCCAGGAGGCATATGCACTGCATCCCACGGCAGTCTCTCTCCTAAATGAGTCAGTGAGCGGATGAGTGAGAGGCAGAGGCAGTTGCCCCAGTCCCGTTCTGATTGTCTCCACTGTAGTTTGAAAGAGTCATCTCAGCAAGTCCTCAGAAATAGTACTCAGTAGATATTTACCTCTGTCCCCTTTCTGGGCACCTTGTAGTACTCATTCTTCAGCCTCTGTTGCTCCTGAATAAAGAGATGATAGCCTCCTGGTTTAGAAAATGTTCCCTCCTTCACATCTTTGTCTAGAGGATGGAAAATGTTCTGAAGTAAGGCAATGCAACAATCTGATGATGCTTTCACATTCTGCTTACAAAAGTCATCTCGTTTTGCTAGCAAACATTCCTGTGAAGTGACAAAATAGCACAGATGGTACAGTCAGCCATGAGGAGGATGCTCACCACACATAGACTATGGAGAAATGCTTCTCCTCCATAGACTGTGGTATATGTAACCTGGGCCACACCATCACCTTGTGAGGCTCTAGAATATCTCTAAGAAGGGTGCAGGTTGAAAAACACTACATCTACCTTTCTGGCTGTGATTATCTGAAACTCTTTTCTGTACTTTTCCTGCTACAGAGAATGATTCCAAAGCACAGACACTGTTCCATGTGAAACTTCTCCTTTAAAGTCCAATTTCAGAAGAGCTTGGAGTACAACCTGTGGAGTTAGGAAGGCCCGGGTGGATGCACCCCTTTGTGTTCCTGGGTCCGCCCCTTTGTGGATTTGTGACACTCAACCTTTGTGAATTGAGGTGTCCTTATTGGTAAAACAGGGGAAATTATATCCATTTCATAGATTTCACGTCAGAATTAGATGTAGTGATGTAAAGTATCAACCTCAGTGACTTCTCTACAACTACTCAGTAAACCATCAATGATTATTGATACAACCTTTTGGATGAAAATATTTTTGTAGATTTTTCTCAATCTAAGGCTAAGAAAGGTAATGAAAATTGTATCCCAGGTCTTTTGAGTATTGAGAAAGCCTAACAAAAATACAGAGTCTGGCATAAGTAAGGCCTACTTGAGTGTGATTGGTAGGGTATTAATATGGGTGTGATAATTTATAGTTTTAATTTAAACATTTCACCTAAAATGTCAAATGGTGTGCTTGAATGTAATATTGTTATGTTACAGAGTTACATGCTTATGATTTTGTAATTAAAAGGTATTATTTTTGTGGATCTTATTTATTTACCTATATTAAATCATTCAGGAGAACTTACATATCAAGCTTTTACATTAATCCAGAAGGATGTCCAATATCTGCTGACCTTGACTATCTAATTTCATCAGAACCTTTAAATGTAGGGAGGTGACATTTGTAAAATCCTGCCTTGCAAGCCAGGGAAGGGATTTTCACTTGTCCAGTGTTGGTCACACAACAACCCTTCCCTAATTTGTAAAGACACAGACTTGGAAACATTCTCAAACAGTATTTGTATGATTGGTTTGACTTTCTTGGTTTTCTAAAAATTCTACCATTGCTTTACAATAAAGACAAATCATTTTGTGTAATTCTATCAGGTTATTTTCAGGCAGCATGAAAGTGTTGTGCTTTTGATTCACTTTTAAAAGAAAAATAAATTCAAATAATCTTATACAAATACAGTTTTACAATTTACTTATTTGCTTCAAATATGGCGTCCAGAAAGGGACTGCAGAAGAGGGTAACTGTAATAAACGCAGTTGGTTGTGGTGCCATGGTCTATAGGACTGAGGCTAGGAGTACTGTATTTTTTTAAAGCAATGATTGCAAATGAATACACATTAACTGAGTGCTTCTGGCTTTGGATCTAGGAAGAACTACTCGTATCCAGAAAGGCCCAGGTTTTTCTGCCTCTCGCTATCTAGAATAGCACACATACCGCTAATTCCTTCTGGAACTTTTGATCCACATCCTTGAAGGAATTGTTCATGAAGACTTCGATGGCCTCTTTCTCAGTGGCCCTGTGCAGGTCCAGCAGCTCCTGGAGGGTTTCCGTGGGCAGCTGCACCTTCTGGGCCATCTCCTGGTCATAGTGGGCAATGGCCTTTTTCACTGCAGCTGAGTTCTCTATCTCAGCCAAGGCCAGGACTGCGTTCTCCATGCAGGGCAGATCACCACTGCTGATAGCATTGACGTAGGTCAGCACCAGGTTCTCCAGTCCTGCAAAAGAGAATTTAATAAAATAGCAATTATCAGTTAGTGAAAAAGAGGAACAAACTGTAAACTGTTTAGTCCTGAGAATAGGAATTTAATTATTTAATGTTTTAGAACCAAGTGCTAGAACATTTGTAATGCTTTTCTAACATCACAAACAGTAGTTTAGGAATTTTCTTAGGGAGAATGGTGATGGAATATTTTGATTACCTCTAGATTCAGAGAAGTTTAAATTTCTCTTTTTCTTTTCCTCCTCCAAAAGAAAGATGGTGCAGTGAGTGGCTCAGAAAAGGATATTTTGTGGTCAAGATATTAAGTCTTGATCTTTTCTCAACCATTCTACATCTCCCTTTATTCTGCCTTTTTCTTTTCCTTCTTTAGTTCTAATTTATGAAAAGGCTAAGTGGACAACTTAGCTTGCTTATGTGTGCAAGTGTGTGAGTGTGTGTATGTATCTGCTATAGGCCACTAGTCCTGTTTGGCCTAGATAAGCGAGTCTTCCTAGGTACTGCCTTATCTGAGCTACATACAGAGTGACCAACTCATCCGGGTTTGTGCAGAGATTTGCTGGTTTTGGCATAGAACATCTTATATCCCAGGAAATCCCAGCCTTGGGAAAATGGAGTGGTTGGTTACCCTCCAAGCAGCAGTTCTTTGGGACTCAATCCTGGGCCTTCCCTTCTGTTTCCACAGTTCTAAATAATATCTCTATGGATACTAGTGAACTGTATTTTCTGCTTTGACTTGATTTTTAAGCTTTATATTTGTATATTTGAATCTCTGCATGTTATGCCTTCTTTTACACATCAGAGGAAAACTAATATTAAATGATCTAAATCAAAATAACTTCATCTACTCTGAAAAACTACTTTTCCTTCAGATATCCCTCTCAGTAATTGACACCCATTCAAGCAGTTGCTTAATTTCAGAACCCTGGAGTCCTTCTAATTCCCTGCTTACATCCATCATTGTGCCTTATGGATTTAACGTTCGAAACATGTGGGGATCCTGTTTTGACCATTTATCATAATCTTAGCCTAACAAAATCCCCATTTATTACTAAAATCTGGCAAATATTGTCCATCTTTTCATTGTCTTCTTAATATCCCTCCATCCCATCTACAAAATGTCCAGGAAGATAGTTTTAAATATAAATGGGATAACTTTACCTCTCTGTCTAAAATTCTTCAGGATTCTCCCATTGAATTTAAACTCTATTCTCCTTAAAGTCATCTACAATCCTTTCAAGTACTAGCCCCTAGATATTTCTCCAATTGTGATGCCACTCTTATACTTTCTACTGTTATCTGACACACTGTCTTTCTTTTCCTTTGTTGAAATTACAGGGTTCCTTCCTGTCTCAGACCTTTCCACATGGTATTGTCTCTGTCTGCAAAGCATTCTCTATTCTTCTGCTTGATACACACTCAGTAAGCTATCATCTTACATGTTACTTTCAGAGACAAAGATTCTCTGTCTTTGAACCTAAATTATCTCCTACATGCATGCACTCCTTAATTTCTTATAGCAGCCTATTATTTTAATTTATTGTGCTTTTCACTATTATATTATAATTTAAAAAATGTAAGTACCGTCACTCCTGCGGTGCTGAAATGAGGATAGAAATAAAATATTTTATATCTACCATTATACCCAGTCATTAGTGCATTTCATGAGTTTCTTCTAGTCAATTTCCCTATTCCCAAATTGCTGAATAAGGGACTGGTGCTAAGGTCAGCAGCAAAGACTCACATCAATGGGGTATTTGCCTTCTTTGGACTTTGTCAGTCTATATAGATCTATTAGGAGAATCTTTCATAAATAGGAGGCTGAGAATTTGTGGGGAAATTACTGCAAAAAAATGGACTCTAGTTCTTCTCTACTTCTTCCCTATTCATCTGGCTCATATGAATATTAGATAACACCAGAAATAGTTTTACTTGTCACATAAAGTTCACAATGTGATCCTTGTGGTATGTTTTCCTGAGCATCATTAGACTATGTGTTTGTCATAAGTACACTTATATCCCCCTCTTTTATTTTCTTCAATAGACAGAAGGAAAGTTCAGGTAAGAAGTGGGGAGTGAGAAGAACTCACGAGGCCCAGTGACTATGATGCCCCCTGTGAGAGTCTTGGCCTCAGAATATTTGAAGATGTAGGAGCAGAATTCCGCTACTTGTTCTCTGAAGTCAGGGTCCAGGTCTTCCTCCTCTAGCTGCTCCAGGCAAACAAGGTACTTCCTTCGAGCAGGACGGTCAAAGACAAAGCACTTCTTTTTTGGAAAGAATTTTCGGATGCACAATCGAGGCTCATTAAAGCTTTTAGTTTTTTTATCGGTACCTAGAAAAATGAAAATTAGGAATAGTACAACTTTACACTAACTGTCTCAAATACATGACACTTCAACTTCCTAATATACACAAATCCTATGGAAAGAGATGAAAATAAACTCATGATGGATCAGGAATTTTTAAGAAATTGAAGGGTAGAGAAAATTTCTTTCTCCAAGAAGAGAAAGATATCTTAAATTAGATCCATCAGTTTGGCCAAAGAATGTTTTCATTTCCTGTAATAGGACAGTCAGAATCACACAGTTACACAATTATAATTTTAACATCTACACACAAATGGTCATTTTAATATTGTTTTCTCCATTTGTCACCCAATGGTAAGTCCCAGTCACCTTTCTTTAGTTTCAGTGACAACTCCAAATACTCATCAGGAGTGATGGGTTCTCCATTGACTTCTAGCTCCAGGGAGAAATCTCTCAGAGTCCACACAAAGGCTGGAAAGAAGCTCACAAAGTCGGCTGAGTCTTCAACCCCACCATTATCCAGTGAGGATTTTGCTCTGATTCGTTCAGTCAGCTCTGTTACATAACTGAGATGCTAACATAGGAAAATTGCATAAAAGAAGAGCACTTTTTATGTAGTACTTTCTCCCAAAGCTCAGCTGAAATAATTTTTTTCTCTTAATTAGCTCAATCATTCATTTTTTTTGTTCATTCCACAAATATCTATTAAGCACCTGCTGTGAATCAGGCATTGTTCCAGGGACTAAGAATATTATAGTAAGTGAGATAATACTAGTATCATAAAGTTTACATTCTAGTCAGAGAGACAGATAAATATGTAAACAAAAATATAATAAAATTTGAGATGTTAATAATAATGATCTCAAAGAAAAGTGAACTATGCTGAAGGCTAGAGAATGACTGTATTTACATGTGGTGCTGGTTTATGTGGTTGTTCAGCTAAATTCTCTCTGAGGTTGTCTGAGCAAAGATCTGAATGAATTGTGAGAGTCAACTCTGCACAAATCCAATGTAGGAGCATTTTAGGGGGAGAAAACAGCACTTGCAAACACTTAGACAAAAATTACTAAGTGTGTCTAATAAATAGCAAGCAGGCCAGTGTGGCTGGGGCCAAAGTCCTAGAATGGATAGGGTCTAGACCATGTAAGTTATAGAAAGAGTTTGGATTTTAACCTAAATTTAATGGGAAGCTATTGGGAAGTTTTAAGCTCAGGGGGGATATGACCTGATGCTGGTTTTTAAGAGATCATTCTGGCTGGTGTTGCATCTGTGAGGGGCAGGAGTGGAAGCAGAGAGAGGGGTTAGGTAGTTAAGGAGGTAACACAGATGAGAGGAGATGGAAGCTTCAACTAGAGTTATGGGGCAGGAAGTGGTGAGAATTGGTCAGCATGGGCAAATACCTATGACAGTGCAGCTGACAAAACTTTCCAACTAGTAGTTTCTAAGATATGAGGAAAGAAGTCATCCAGGATGAATTCTAAGTTTTTGATTGAAGGACCTGTGTGAATGCTGCAGGAATTTACTGTGATAGTGAAGCAGTGCTGTTGAACAGAAAAATTAAAAGTTCTGTTCATTTTACTTGCTGTTTGAGACATCTTTTACCCTCCAAAGAGAGAAACTGTGTGTCTACATACACAAAATTGTACCTGAGAACAGCAGTCATGATTGCATATGCAACTGTCCTGGTAATCCACATACAGGTGCTACTGAAAGCCTTGAGTCTGGATGAGATCACTTAAGGGTTGACAATAGAGAAAGACTAGAACATGGCCAAGAATTAAATAGCTATAATATTTAGAAACCAAGAAGATGGAACAATTAGGAAAGTGATATATTAAGATGCATTGACATTCTAGACATTAAAAGAACCAACTGTTTCAGAAAAGAGGAAAACATCAACTATCAAATGCTATTGTGAAGTCAAAGAGTATGAGAATTATCCATTAGATGGAAGACCATGAAGGTTATCTTGACAAATGCTAATGTAACACAATGGTTGAAATTAAGTTATAGAAATGTTGAAGTTGTTGATAATGACCAAAACCAGGAATGAAGGAGAGTGCAAGATAAGGTATGAGAAGGTAATGAAACTGAGAGATCAGAATGTTAAATGGATATGTATTGGTCGTTAACATTTCTAAGTGAACTAAGACCTGGAAGTTTTAACATAGGAAGGGTTTGTTCTTGGGGAGGTTGGTTTGTTCCCAGGGGGGTTGATTTGTTCACAGGGAGGTTGGTAGATGACTGCAACAATGAGGGATGCTGTGGTTTCAGTGCATGTCATTCAAAGATCTTTCTCTTTTTACTGGGAGAAGAATGAGGAAGTATCTGGAAGATGTCATAAGGAGGAAGAAGGTTACCTAAATTTTCTGGGACTTAGGCAAGGTATAGGAGAAAAAAAAACAGCACTAAAATCACTGGAGAGGCCTGTCAGGGAAACAATGTCCACAAAGTATAGACAGAACTCAGTTAGAAGGAAATATTTGGAGGAGATAATAAGAATATAGAGATTTGCTGAATGAGAGCATGAATTTTAGAGAATGTTGAGGGTTAGGCAAGGGAAAGGAGATTAACTCAGATGGGGGATATACAGAGCCTTGTGCAGCTAAGTGTCTAGGATAATGTCTAATGGTAATCTCATTCTACTGAGGGACACAGATGATAAACAAGTAAACAAAAATAATATCTGAGACACAAGAAAGGCTTGGCTTTCTGGGGCTGGTTGAACTGAATTTGGATATTGAGCATAATGATTCATTAAGGAAGGAACTTATGAATTCTTCTGCAGTTGCCCACCACTCTACCTGGTGAAAATATGAAGCTGTGACTTTCTGGATTTAAGTTGTTCTGGACCACAAAAAGGATACTGCAGTTGGTCCATGGCTATTTGGTTGATGGTTCCCATGCTGTTGTAGACGAAGGTGCTGCTCAGGAGGACGGCCAAGGCAAAGATCCAGGAGTCATTCTGGTTGTCTCCCTAGATGTCATTGTAGAGACACATGGAATGCACAGTAAAAGCGCCATACTTTCAATTCAGGCAGATAAAGTCTGAACCACCTCTGTTTCTATTTATCCATGGAAACTTAGGTTGGTCACTTCCCTATGCAAATTTTTCTCATCTATACAATGAATTTATGAACATTAAATTCAGAGTGTCATGAAATTTAAGTAAGGCAATGCATATAAATGCATAGGACAGTGATAGTAATAAGTATTATGATCACTTAGTACATTTCAAACAGGCCTCCTGAACTTAGATTGTGATCCTATTACATTTCTATGGCATGCAATGGTAAGGAACTTCTCAGTAGTTAACATGTGCTCCTTTGATAAGAGCTTTATAGGTCTAGGATTTATAAGAGTAATAATGTATAACCCTTTCTGAACAAAGATATTGACATCAAATCATATCTTTTGCTTCTCTTATAAATAGCACAGCTGTGGATAAGATCATATTTACCAGCTTTCAGGATTCCTATTGTGAAAAGTCAGACATGTTTATAAAGTATCTAGTCAGGTTTAAAGGCATCTTCACAGCTTCACCAAAACATTTTTCTATGATATTAAAGAAAAATAACTTAATCGGCCATTATTTACAGGTTGTATAACCTATCAACAGACCTTATGGTCCACTCTCAATGCTCATGTATGTAATGTGGCCCGGTGAAGCTCAGTGTTTAAAGCATGTGACAACTCTTTAATGAGCTTGTTAGTGTCATAATTTGTGTTCCCTTTCCTTACATAAATCTTACTTTGGTTGGTTTCAGACTGGATTTAAGGTCAAATGTTTACCACTACTAAGTAAATGAAAGGTATAGTATGTTGATATGATATGTTGGAAGCCTACATCAAGGAGTGGGGGAGGCAGTAAAAGGGGGCTAGTGATATGACATAAATAAGATTTAAAAATTCATGTTTTACCTTCTCTATATCTCCCAGGCCTTCGGTGTCAAGCAGGACAAGCGTGTGGTTTGGCTTCTCAGGATGAGGCACACACCATATCCAGATTCCCTTGGTGTGAGACTGCACCGTGGAGCCCAGAGAGAAGCCTGCCAGGGGCAGAGGAGGTAAGAGGACTTGGATTTCTAATATTGAATGGTTGTGGATATAGAAATAAAAGTTAATGAAATCACGGGCCTGCGAACCAGAGTATCGAGGTTAGATTCCCAGTCGGGACACATGCCTGGGTTGCAGGCCAGTTTCCACGAGGGGACACATGAGAGGCAACCATACATTGATATTTCTCTCCCTCTCTCCTTCCCTTCCCCTCTAAAGATAAAAAAAAGTTAATGAAATCAAAATTTAAAAAGATAAATGAAACCACAATCAATGTTACCCTTAATTAAAACCAGAAAAAGGGATTAGAGTATCCAATACAAAGTGAAACATTTATTTTACTTTAAAGATTAATGCAAGCTTTAAAAAAGATGACAAAAACGAAACAGAAAATTCCAACAAAATGCCACAAAAAGAAAAATAAAGAACAGTGCAAGCTTATTATTAATACCCAAACATTTTAGTAATTGTTTTATACTTTATTATTATGTATGTTGATTATATTTATCATGACCTTATTCTTCCCAGAAAGACACATTATAGTTTAAAAGAGGAAATGAAGGGAAAATGAGAAGAGTGAGGTGATTTGTATCCTCTGGAACAGAGTAAATGTAGGGAGCTCATCAGGGAACTGAGTTAGGTTTTGATATTTCTTTCCCCCTCTCACTCTCTCTCTGTAGGCACGCTCACCCTTGCTCTTCCCAGCCAGCTTGTTCATCAGGTAGGATTTGCCTGTGCGGTAGAGACCCACAATGGCCACCACGACAAGAGGCTGGGTAATGGCAGACAGGATCTTCAAAGCTTCCGGATTAGCTACTAGTTTCCCGTTAGTGTTCTCAATGAGGCACACTGGGTCCGGCATGTGGGTCTCTGAGTCCATGTTCAGGGTGCAACCTTGTCTGCAAGAGAGAAGATGGAATGGAAAACAATTTCTAGCCAGAAGCTGAGTAAGAACTTACAAATGAACTAAAACTTTATTTTCTGTCTTTGACCTTTGTTCCCTATGTGTTTTTAAAAATCCTGTGGCCCCTGTAAGGTTGTCCTATAGACTAGTCTGCTGTTTCTCTTTACAAATAAATAAATTTTGAAATAATTTGTATGTAAAACAGGTTTGAATAGTTTTCATATACAACTTCCCCAGCATCTATAATGTTAATGCTTTCTACAAAATTTTCATGTTGCTACAATACTGTTAACTAACGTACATACTTTTTTCATATCTCACCATTTTCGCCACTGATGTTTTTTTCTGATCCACAACCCAATCCAGGATCTCATCGCTGTCATTGTTTCCTTAGCCTACTGTCATTTTCCATAGTTACTCATTTCTTATTTTGTCTTTCATAACCTTGATATTTTAGAAGAGAACTGGCCTTTTAGTTTGTAGAATATCCCTCAGTTTGGGGATTTTTTTGGCAGTTCCCCATATTTATATTTAGGTTATACATTTTCAGTAATGCCATCCAAGTGGGGTTCTGCCAGGTTCGGTGCATTGCATCATGGGATTCATGATGTCAGTATAACACCGGCGCTCTGATGTTAACTCTAATCATTTACGTCAGGTTGTGTCTGCCAGGTTTTTCTGTTGTAAAGTTCCTACTTACCTCTTTGTAATTACAAAGTACCCTTTGGGAAGATATTTTCGAGACTGTGAAATTATATTCTCACCATACTTTCCTGTCATTTCCAGTGCTAATTTTAGCGTCCACTGACAACGATTCTTGCCTGTAGCAGTTATTACTGTCGTGTTTGCCTATGGTTCATTTTGTATTCTCACCATTCCTTCGACATTTATTAATTTGAGTTCTACTATAAAGAGGAGCTGTCCTTTCTCTTTACTTTATTTAGTCATTCAATTATTTAGTTGTATCTGTATAAATTCATAGTTATTTATTTTCTACTATGGATTTAAACACTTTACTATCATTATTTATTTTGTTGCTTAATTTGCTCCATAAATTTTATTGATACTTTTTGAGGCTGGCTCCCATGTCCTTTTGGCATGAACCCACCGTATTCTGATCATTTCCTTCTTTCTGGTCCCACAAGGTATCCCACCTAGTATTGTCTCTGATTCAGCACTTAGATGCCAAGATCTCATACTAGGTGTGTGCATCATTTCTAGGCTTCTCAAGGGCAAGGTTAAAATATGTTGTATATATGTATGTATGTATATATACTAACACAGGTAAACAAACATCTGTTTCTTCATCTATCCATTTTTATACACAACTTTGACTTCCTGTTTATATTTCTAATTGTAATCTAACACAACACAATTTATTTAAGCTCTTCTCTCTCTCTCTTTTTTTTTTACTCCTTTCTCATGATGAGAGCTCTGGTTCTCAATATCTGTAATAAATTTCCTTATTTATTCCATTCTAGTATACATAAAAAGTAATTTTTAAATTTTAAATCCATACTTCTGTGATACATAAGTCTACTAACTAGAGTACATTATTAGTATGCAGTTCTTTGTGTCTTTAACTTTATGAATATGAAATACTTTATGTATTCCAAAATTTCTTCATTTGTAATGCAGTCAGGTTCATTTGTTACTGTTTGTTTTTCTTTTCAGCACCCCCAACATCTTGGCTGATTTTAAATGTGTATTTACTTTTTGAGTATGTGAAACATTATATGTTTCTGAGAGTCAGAAATTTCCAAAAAAGTGTACTCAGAGAAATATCACTTCTTCTTCATTTAGTACACCATCCTCATTTTTACCATTCTTTCTATTTTTATTCCCCCTTTTTCCTCCCCCATAGTCCCCAATCTCATTAATTTCTTGTTTATACTTCCTAGATATCTTCTTCACAAATGAACAAATATACATCTGTTACCTTATGCACATTTTCTGACATGAAAGATCAAATAGTATAGGTATTTGGAAATCACTCCGTGTCGCTCATAGAAAGCTTTCCATCCTTACACTCCTACTCCACTATGCCTATAGGCCACAGTTTACTCAACCGATCTCCTATGTAAGTGCATTTAAATTGCTTCCAAAATGCTTTGAAATTACAGGCAGTGCTGCAATGAATAACTCTGCTAACCTGTTTCTATTTTATTTTGCATTTTAGCTCTTTCTTCAGTATAGATTCCTAGAAGTGGGATTGTTGCATCAAAAGTAAGAACACACCCTTTTGTGATATGTTGTCAAATTCCTTTCTGGAAGGGTATACCAGATTGCCTTCCCACCAGCTCTTCTTGTACTTCATTTTCCAGAAAACAGAGATTTTTATTGTGCCTCTTAGCTTCTGACTTCCTTACAAAATTTCCTTTTAAAGCTTTTTACCTTCACATTTAGATGTTTAAATTGAATGAATGGGGGATATCTGAGCTCCTGTTGGAGCATCTGGATAAATTTGTGTAAAGCATATACATGTGCCCTGAAACACAAATAGCATTCTAACCCAGGCTTACCTGCTCTTTCTCCCAGGGCTGTTCCTGGGCAGCGTCTGGGTCTCATGGAGGGACTCAGATTCCCCAGTGGCTTCCTGCTCCCACTGTGCTGGAGGCCCCGCAGCTGGCCCAGCTCATTCTGGTTACCCACTCACTGGTTCTTCATCTTTGCTTTGCATCTGCATTTACACTTTTTTTGCGCAAGTCTTGATATCTAAGAGATCTAAGACATCTCACCCCAACTCTATTGATTTTTTTACACAGTTTTGTTATAGACTGTGACTCCCTGTGTTTTCAGATCGATTCTTCCTTATTTCCTCCTATCTGCTTGCATAATGCTTTTAATTATTTTAGGGAACAAAGCTAAAATTATGAAACATTTCTTTATAAACCAAAGTTTGTTTTTTCTCTAAACTCTGCTCTACATAATTTATTCAAACAATTATAGACATGATCAGAGCTTGATGATTTTATAATTTTAATAATTTTATAAATTTAAAAGGAGCGAAAAGTCTTATTTTAAAATCGGTTACCTCTGACTTGCTCTTGTGGAGGAGGGCTTATGTCTATTAAAATGCCAGTCTTGACTACTCTCTGGCTTCCTATTTCTCCAGGGGAAGATGCAAAGAAAGGCCTTTTTAAAAAATTAAAATATAGTCAATATACAACATTATATTAGTTTTTCATATGATTAGGACCCATTTTTCTCTTACAACAATGGCCCACAGGACTGCTGACAAGCAGATGTTCTGTCAGATTTTATAACATGAGACATAATTCCATTAAATGCGAATCATTCAATAATTGCCTCAGAAAAATAGTGGCCTCACAAAGATTTTATCAGCTCCTGAAGTACAAAAACTTGTTACCTCTTTTTGCAGACTCCAAGTTGCCCAACTTCTACTTACCTGGCATATAAAAGTTTATAATAAAGAATCAAATGGAATCTGAGCTTTAGTAAGTGGGTTTTATCAAAGATAAATGTAATTTCAGCATCAAAAAAGAGATAATCTTGGAGCATTTCCGACTCAGTGAAGGCTCTCTCTCTGCTGGAACCTCACTCACTGAACGCAGAGCTGGAGCGGCGGGGCTGGAGCAGACACCCTGCTGCCTGCCAGGGTCAGAATTCCAGCTGCAGCCTGTGCCAGAGCCAGCTGCAGCCTGTCACTGGAACGGTCCTTTCAGACAAATTGACGGACCCTTGTGAATCCCTTCCCACCCTTCCTCACTCTTACCAGGAGCAGAGATCCTCTAGAGTTGAGAAGACAGCAGCTTCAATGACAAAGTTATAAGTGCCTTGCCTCTTCTCTTTTCTTCTGAGTTTTACTGCACTGGTTTCTCTCTATTTTCTCTCTCACTGGCAATCTGGCCTTTCAGTTTTACCCCTTCGATGTCCTGGAGCTTTCTGCTTTTCCTTCAGAGACCTAGTAGCTACAAACCAAAACTAACGAACAACCTCAGGATTAAATAGACTAAAATGAAACTGAAAACACTGAAACAATGTCAGTCATTCACTCAGTAAAGCATTTGCTGAGAGCTTTGCCAAGTGAGAGGGTTTGACATGACGTGTCAACTGGTATCCACAAAGGTTATCACAAGAGACTGCCTGCAATACAAATAAAAGGCCCATTGGAAAAATTAATGTAGAATTGACCATTGAACAACATCGGTTTGAACTGTGTGATTCCCCTTAGGTGCAAATGTTTATATTTATAATATAAATGTGAACAAAAATAACCTTTATCTTAAATAATACCTACTCTTTATTTGAAGAAAAAGTTACGTATAGTGTACTGAGAGAATTGAAATCAGAGAGTGAACTAAACAAATTGTAATACTAAAGCTTTGTTAGATGCTCATTTAAAATATTATCTAATGTCATTCACCTATCTAGGAATTAGTGGGTCAGTGGGGATCACTTAAAACCATTATAGGCAGAAATGATGATCTCTTAAATGAATAGTCCTGGGTGAATCGGCTATCCTTAGGGAAAACAAGAAAATGACCTCTTGCTTATACCGTGCACAATTAGCAATTCCAGAATGATTGTAGAATTAAATATAAAAAGCAAAATCATAATACCTTTGGAAAATAATTTGGAAGAACATTTTTAAATATTTGAAAATAGGAAAAAAATTGTTAGGACACAAAATGTACTAAACACAATTGTAAAGACTGACAAATTTGACTATATTAAAATTAAGATATTTTCTTTATCACAAGACACCATTAATAAAGAAAAAGGCAAGCCCCATATGTGAGAAAATATAAAAAGACAAATGATGCATATACAGAAAATATAAATAACTTCCACAAAGACAGAATACTCAGTAGAAAAATGGGTATGAACTTAGGCACTTAGAAAAGAATATATCCGAATGGCCATAAACACTAGAAAAGGATCTAACATGGATCATGAAAGAAATACAAGTGAACATCACTCTGATATTGTAGTGCTCACCTACTAAAATGGCTTAAATTAACAATACCGATAGTTTCAAATGTTGATATCTTATCTACTCAGGGTTGTGTTCATTTTGTGATATTTCATCTACTGTTCACATTTGATCTAAGCAATTCCTTACTCTTATATCACACACACACACACACACACACACACACACACACACATATATACATATATATATATATTTTTTAAATTAGTCTTCTGGGAGCAGTCTTTGCACTATTAAAAAGGCCATTTGGGCTATAATCATACATGTGTTCTCCCTGATAGAAAGAAAAGCACAGGGAACATGCCTTGCACTGCTTCTTCTCCGATGCCATGGACAGCTGATGATATCTTGAGCCCTTTGTGAAATAATTGGGAACCTGAAAGTCTGATCCAAAATGACCCACACTTCCAGGAAGTGTAGACTTAGGTTCTGAAATAGCCAGTGAGTGTTTGGGTTGAGTTCAGGGCTATTTTAAACCCTAATCTGGAAAAAATTGGACAAAGATGCACCAATTCTTCCTGTCTCTCTGCCTTCTCCAGTTTAGTCTGTCTGATTAATATTTGGTCAGTGATAAAGTCTATAGTTCATTCCCATCTTTTTCACGAATGTAAAATTCTGTTCAATTCAGGACAAATTTTGAAACTTAACTTTCTGTTGATAGGAAACCAAAAGTGAGAGTAAGGCAGGGCTGCTTTGAAATAGGGTCATACTGGGAAGTCAGGTGCTTCTTTTTCTGACCAATGAAGTCTATCGTTTATTTTAGCCAACAAAAAATAATTCCAGGAACATTTGGGTCTTCCTGTGAATCGTGTAAAATGCAAAGGTAAATAAAGGTGAATTTTTTATGTTTATAACCTGAAAAAAAGCCTATTTACATATCTCCTTTTAGAATGTTTTTTGGAAACAATCAGCCAGTGTTTTCTTTGGGTTTTTGTTTTTTTTTTTTGTAAACTTCTGAATTTAAATAAAATTCTCTAGGGATTAAATAAAACTATTGTCGGCTTTATAGCTCCAAGTGTCTAGGCTTCATCCTTCTTTTGTAATATAAATACCCAGAAAGCTAGCACCCCAGGCCCCCTGACACCGTGGAAACTTATTCCAGGTAAGTATCCTAGCTGTAACCATTTCTTCTCTGGAAAAAATGTTTTATTATGCTTGCAAATGACTGTTGTTAAACAGTGGCCACCTCAATTTTCAGGAGAGCATAGTGTGCACTCGATAAAGGAAGGGACAGAAAGTTAAGGATGAAACAGCAAATTCTGCTTCCAGCCCTCTTATGAAAAAAAAAACAGGTTACCAATGATCCGGGGAAATATATTACATGCAGGCTATAAACAGTGCAGAAGGATTCCATCTGCTTGGATATATAAAGTGTGTAAAATTTCATCCTGACTTTCTAGTCACTTTCATCTACCTGCATTCTTGTGCTTGGTTCTGCTTACTCAATATTACTCAATTGTTTTCTTCTTTTCTACATTTTTATGAAGAGGATGAACTTTGTTGGTAAATCTTTTAATTTACTAACAATGTGAAACAACGGAATTTGCTGCCTTCCCTCTAAACCCCTTTCCAGATGAACTAAAGTAATTATCTGTAGATAAATGGGGCCATTTTGGTTGAAAATGATTCAGTTTATGGTATGTATAAAATTAATTTATTTATTAAAAACTTATAAAACAGTAACTATTATATAAAAGCCCAAAAGCATAATAAATGTTTTCTTGAACTGCAGGAGGTTAATGAGCCTTCATTTAACCAAAATAGTTTTTCATGTTGAGTCTCGTAAAGGGTGGCCTAGCAGTCAGGGGTGTCCAACACCGCAGCATCTCTGAGCTGCACTGGAAGAAGAAGAGCTGTGTGGGACCATGCATTAAATACATCACAACATGTAATAAGAAGAAATCTCATAATGTTTTAGTTAAACTTATGATTTTGTATTGAGCCACCTTCACAGCCATCTTGGGCTGCAGGTGCCCTCAGGCCACAGATTGGACACACCTGGGCACTAGCATCCTGTTTGAGAAATAGTGGTTTTGGGTTATTTTATTTTGTGGTTTTTTTTTTTAACAACTAGCAGACTCAGCTATGGGGCCTAGTAAAAATACTCAGCCAGGAAAAGTCCTATCTTTTAACACCCTGCCACACAGACTCTGGTGAAAGGTAGCTTCCATCGGGTGCTCACGGGACAGAGCTGGAGTCACGAGGGAGCCTTCTGGTGGGGCAGGCAGGCCGGGCGTTCCACGGTTCCAGGGGGACGGCAGTGCCTCCAGGACAAAGAGCCCTTGACTTTTCCAGGAGACTTGGACTAAACTGCAAGTAATAGGAGCCTATCAATGACACAAAACCAAGAGCATAATGAAGGAAAGAACCCCCATGGCACAGTGCACTCAGGCTGCTGAAACTGGGAGTGGAACAGTGATATTAAGTCAAACCTGGCACTGCAGGCCTTACGTAAAGAACAATGGAATTGCAGGACTTCACTGGAGAAATTGGAGACTTGTGGCACCCTGAAGTTAGCCATACAGAAAAGCACTATGGATTTTACTCAAAAAATTAAAAATTGAACTGCCTTATGACCCAGCAATTTCACTTCTGGGAATTTACCTGAAGGAAAATGAAATACTAATTCAAAAGAATATTTGAACCTCTGTGTTCACTGCAGCATTATTTACAATAGCCAAGATTTCCAAGATTTTAATCTTTCCAAGATTAAAAATTGACATTTAACTTATGAAAGAGTTCTCCCTTCATAAGGGCGGAGAAAAGACTATCTTCTGTTAAATTGATGAGGAAATGAGTTCTCCTCCTCCTGAAAAATACTTTGCACTTATACTTCATACCACATGGGAAAATCAGTTTTCAATGGATTATAGACCTAAATGTGAAAAGTAAGATAATAAATATTTTCATATGAGAGAAAGAATTCTTACAGAACACTCCCTGTTGCTA